TGCCGATGTTCATTGGAACGAACGCTTCCCGAGGAATGATTGCGTGATACGAGTGCGCACTGGACCGAAGCCGGACGTGACCTACTCATTCCCTGTTTTCGATCCCTCACACAAGATGTCAAAATTCCACCGTTTTGACCCTAAAGTCGAAAACTTCACGCTTCCTGTCCTTAGCGAACTCCGGAAGGCATCCGGATGTAGCCTAATCTCGTCACCGACATCTGCGTTGGCCAAGTGGGATCCTAAAAAACCACAACCGATTGGCGCTGCAGACCTAACATGCTTTCCTTGGGCTGTTGTCGAAGTCAAAACCAGTAAATGGAAGCGTGATAAGTCAAAATTTTGTTATTGCCAAGCTGCAAACGCGTCTGCTGAAGCACTCATGATGAGGGAAAGACTGGCTGAGAGAGTGAACGAGCCAAGTAAGGATGCTCTGGTCATCTTCTCTTTCACATGTGTTGGTCCAAGCGTTCGGTTTTGGCTTACCTTCAGACACCCAGTGAGTATGAAGCTTACCATACAAGCGTCACAAGTAGCTAACATGCGTCAGACCAGCCACAACATTGAGATGCGCTGCATTTGGGCAACTTCATTGGAGCTTACTTGGGGTGTCTTTGCGCTACGTGCTGTGATCGAGAACATGCGCAAATGGGTGCACGACCGGGTGAAACCTGAGATATGCAGATGGATCACTCAAGTCCGCTTGCATCCAAAGCCCTCGACGTCTCTCGCTCCAGACGGCCATCAGGTCGAGCAACGAAGAAGAGCGAAATCTCTCGAGCCACCCAATGAGAGAATACCTGACATACCCTCTACGTCACGAAAGCCTCTTCGCTCAAAGATCATTCCGCATTTAGCGAGAGAGAACACGGTACCAAGACGGACCTGCTCTCCCAGTTCGCTGTCTCAACAATTGGATCGATTGAGCATTCGTATCGAAGAGTTAGAACGAGATGTTTCTGACGAAAGTGAAAGCGATTGGCAGCGCTATGCAAGTGGCTCCGACGATGAAAGTTACGTGGCAAGCGATGATGCAAGCGGCGACGACGATGGCTTCAACACGGTGGAAGAAGAGACTTACGACACAAGCGAAGATGAGAACGAACTCGACGAAGGATACTCTAGTGACGGATCATAGGTGGAGGCTTTCCGATGGCTACGTTCTTTTTTGGTTCCATCTCTTTCTTATACAAACATTTCCTTTCTATATAATACTCCACATGAGTTTGCGTAGCCATCATTCTCCTCCTCTCGTATGTGTAGCGTCGAGTTCTACAGGTGGTCCGGGTATGATATGCACACTCGTCGATCCAGCCTCGACTGGAGCCGACGGTGCTTCCGTCTCAGCCCTCCAATGGCCACTCAAAAAGCGTTTCGATCCGTTCGCATCACCATCCATCTCCGATACCCCAATCTCGCCCGAGGGCTCCTGCTCTGGTTGCTGTGCATCTTGCTTCTGTTGTCGTTGCTGTTTCCGCCTTCGCCATAGGAATAAGAAGAACACGACACCTAGTATAACGAAGATACCCACCCCAACTCCAATACCAGCTTTGGCACCTGGACTTAAGCCGGGGTTCGTATTTTGTGATGTGATGGGCGGAGACGAAGTCGATGGTCCGGAGTCTGCATCTTGCGAGGTGATGGATGGTATTGAAGAGGGCGCTGCGGAGCCGTCGAATGAAACACCAATCACCGCTGCAATAGAAGATGCATAGTCCCTCGGGAATAGGGCGAGGTCGCTAGACTGCCAGAAAACGACGGTTGGTTTCGCTCGAGCCGTACCTGCAGTCAACACCGTCTTACTGTTGAAAGTAATAGTAGAGCATGGGCTAGAGCTGCAGACCTGCACAGTGGTGTCGATCAGCGTGACGACGGATGTTCCCCCAACCGCAACGTCGTTGGTTGTAGTGGTGGTGAATCGGCTAAGTACAGTTGTCGTCTCCGAAAAGGTTTTCTCGCAGAACCAGCCTTCGCGTTCCACAAAACGATAAGACATATCGCTAATTTGCATTCATGTAAGCGCGTGTCCGCGGGGTAGGAGTTATAGACCCTTTGAGAGCATGGGTAGCGTACCTGGGACAACAGTATGCTAACCAATAGACATAGTCCAAGCGAATCTCATCTACCTCAGCGGGTTGTTGACTATCCCCACAAACTCCTGGGCTGTACAGCGGCGTGGTCTGCTCCTGCCGATACGGATTGCATTCATAGTAATAGGATTCGGCAACAGCATCAGTATAGTATTAAAAAACAGCCCTTCCGCTGTAGATTGCAGATGAACTGGTGTCGTCGTAGATCCAGCGCGTTGAACATTCCCCTGGGGGCGTAAAGACGGTCAATAGTGGGGGCAAATTCGTTGGAGCAGTTTGGTATCTCCAATCAGACTTTGGTATGGTTGAAACAGTCGCCATAACGACGGTATCTCGAAGGTAGAATAAGTTGACGCTGATTTCAGGGAAGAACGGATCTTAAAGAGCTCTGCCAGCGGCACAGAACTTTGATCCAGATGTGGAGAGGTGACGGGCATCGAATTGTGAGGTTGATTGGTAGAGTTGCTACGCCGCATGATGCGGCGTAGTCCTTCGGCGCCGATGTGTGCATGCCACGCAGCGGCTACAGCGGCATGTGTACCACACACACCCAATACTATGACAGAGTACCTGCAGCCTTGTCGCATGCAAGACAGGCACACAAGCAACAGTGAGCCAAGAAAACGACGGCCATCGCTCGATTGCGATCTTCGTTAGCGCGACAGATTCGTTATAGTGTCTCTCTCTTTTCTGCATCCTCAACGGTCTCTCACCCGCTGCGTGCTATCCAACTCCACCGGCGACCGCGGCACCACACCTCCCGTCCCAGCTTCGACGGGCACCGACCTTCCATCCGCCTCAGCCCTCCATTTAGTGTCCGTAGGGTGCATGAACCCTTGCGAGTTCCCATCCATCTCCGCCTCGTTCGGCTGCTGAAGGCGTTTTCTCTGCTGCTTTTTCCTTCGCCTTAAGAACAAGAGGATGACGACACCAATAATAACGAATAAGCCTATCCCGACGGCTATACCAGCTATAGCGCCAGGACTTAAGCCATCGTCTTTTGAGTCTGGAGATGGATCGGCAGTCGTATTGTTGCCTCCAAATGTAGTGTCAACCAGGGACGCGAGTGACGAAGCATACTCGGTAGGAAAGTTCGACAAATCCTTCTCTTCCCAATACACCCCGAAGGGAGTAGCAAAAGCCATACCAGAAGATAACACAGTCGGCCTCTGCAGCGTCGTCTGATCCGCGCAGGTCTGGGAACCCCCTGACCTTGTACAAAACCTCGTTGCTGTGTCAATGCCAGAGACGATTTGAGTCCTATCCCACTGGTCTATAATTGTCGTCGTGAAATTTGCGAGCGCAGTCCTAGGTGTCGAAAATTCGCCTTCGCAGTCCTGTCCAAGAACTGTCATGGACATTCCCCTGGTGGATACGTAAGCCCGGGTTTAGAGATTCGGATTCAGCCGTGGGCAAACAACCTGTCGCAACACCATCCTTTCCACCTTCGCGAGCTGCCAAAGCGCTGCTCCTCGATACCAGCTATCGTTTGTTGTCTTGTACATATCCCCGGGCTGTAATAAGGCTGATCTATCGGCTGGAGGAAAGGGCGGCAAGACTTCCAGTAGTTCGCTGATAGAAGGCTTGCGATACCCGTCCGACCACCCGGGTTTCCGTTTGTGGATTGCCAGACAAGGTTATTGTCTCCGCTTCGGATGTTGGTGGTATTGACAGGATTGTGTACCCATTGGGTCGCGCATCCCGGGCTAGGATCATATCTGGTTGTCAGAGGAGGAGGATCGCCGGATGGACCTGAACTGCTCCATTGCGCAAGGTCGGTAACAATGGCTATGCTGGATACCACCATGCTTGATGTTGATGGGAAGTCGAACGGAGCGTAAGAACGAACGTTTCAAGAGAAAGAGCTTGGGAACACGGGAACTATGAACTCAAAGTCGAGCGCATAGTAGTTGAGACGTCGGCGACTTGAAGGTTGCGGGGCGGCCACCAATCTTCCGACATGGCTGACCGGTGGCCCGCCTGCAGCCACCAGATGGACGGCGACCTCTCATATGCAGCCTACTAACACAAGCAAGCCTTGTCAGGCGGAGCGGACCCTATCAGCGGTGTCGCGCTGTCCCGCCCGAAGCCACAGAGTAACACCTAACAGCCCTGCCGCATCACAAGGCTGGCCCCCACCGTATCGGAAACCGGAATCAAACTGCGAGATCATCTCGATCATTGGCGGTAGGGGCATGGGCGCGATTGAACGCCGAACTGGACGCCTTATTCTCTTTACCCACATCATAGAGCAGGCCTATCCAGGTAGGGTTGACGAGAAATGGGAGCACGACAGATGTTAGAGGTTGCGATGCAGGGAGATGGAGATGCGCATTCCGGAAATAGAGTGGATATTGACTAGTGCCAAACAGGAGAGAAGTAGCCAATCAACGAAGCACAGCCGCAATTGCCCAAATAGTACATATAGCAGCAGCGTGCAGACCTACAAGGAGACGGAGCAGTGACTGGGTGATCGCATGAGGCTGAGGGATGCTACATTGGCACGCTGCTGTATTAATAGGGAGCAGCGCAAGTAACTTTAGACTCTACACCAAGGAGACCACCAGAGCCAAGGACCAGCGCGAAATCAGACCAGGCGTCCTTCATACTACAACTCAACAGTATTATCTTCGGAGACAACAGTTCAGGATTGTTGACTAACTATCTGCCATTCAACCTCTCGTTGAAATACAAAGGAGATGTCGGTGATGATTATGAGACGGAGCTCTCTATATGTAAACAACCTGTACCATGGTATCTTCGAACCCAGAAACGCCAAATCCGAACAGTAAATCCCAAGCCATTACCCTGGTCACACTTATTCCGACGCGCCGCCTCGACGACATATCCAACCAGTCCATTTACCCAGCCAAACTGCATCAATCTGACAACCCTCGCTCGATCCTTCTCCTACTTCTTCCTCCCCCCACTCCGACTTCGACTCCTTGTCGGACTCAACGCAACCGACAGCCCATTTGTGGACGGCCTATCCGACTCTGTCGCAGCCGAGAGCCCCTCACACCAAGCCTGTTCCTGCGCCTTCCTCGCCTGAACCTGGCTCAGTGTCTTCTTAAGCGCACCGTACAAATGCTGATTATCGCTCGAATCCAAATCGACCCAGAAAGAATATATCGAAAGACACTGATGGTTCATGTTCTTGAAACGCCGGAGAATGTATTGACGTGCACTCAACTCCGGATCGGATTCGTTGCGGACGTAATCGGGGAAAAGCTTCTCCAAGGGTGCGTAGGCCATTTTGCTGACGAAGCGGGTAAAGTTGTTGAGGATGAGGATGATGGTAGATTTGGCGAAACCGGGACGATTGACCCATTGTTCGAAGCCTTCAAATTCGTGGACTAGGATGGATTCGGAGGGCCGTTCGGGGCTGGGCTTGTTGTAGAGGGATACGTCAACAGTGAAGATGACGGCAGTCGCGTCTTCGAGTTGATGGTACCAGCGCTCCTTGAAGTGTTGAGGGACGTAGCCTTTGATGTTGAAGAGGTGGATATCTAGCTCGTCCCAGTTGAAGCGTGTTTCGTTGATGCCACCACCAGATCGGGTTAGGCGAATGATGTCAGCCTCGCTGGGGACATAATCTTCCTCGGCTATGCGTGGTGCTTCTTGCACGAAGTATGGCGCGTACTGTGGAAATACAATCTCGAAGTTCCGGACGTATAGTTTGGAGAATTCGGGACAGGACCAGATTCTGGTGATTGCCTTGACGGCGTCAGACGATATGCCTTCCTCCCTGGCGTCTAGCTCGTGCAACAAAATGGCGAAGTCGTGGGTCAGTTCGGCAGAGAGCGTAACGCCAGTTTCTGTGAGTAAGTTCGTGATCGACGATATGAGCGACCTTACAACTTGGTAAACTGCGGGGCGGTACTTCAATCGTTCTTCCGTCTTATCATAACCTTCGGCGAACTGCACTTTCAGCTGATGCATTATCAGCTCTTTGCCACCCTGTGGATTGCCTACAAGGACCAGCTTAGTCTCGTGCCGAAGGTTAGTAGCTTCTCTCTCCAAAGCGCGATCTATTGCTTCGGACCGGTTGATTGCTGCCATATGCTCGTACTCTTCGTCCGATGGTGTGATCGTTCCATCGAAATCGTTCCGCGCAATCTTCATGTGGAACAATAGTCTCAGCCATTGGATGAATCGCGATAATTGCGCAAGGCTTGTAATGCAAGCGCCGTTTAATTTCGAGGATTGGGTGAGGGTCCTCAGATTTGCCGCATCTTCCTTCCTGATCTGGCGGCTCTTATGAAGCAGGATCTTTCGTTGCGCTTGTGCAGTACTGAGAGGCATTAGAATCAGTTGTACGTAGGGGTGGGTTAGCAGCTCACCATTGGCATGCCGCAAGTAACAAGTTCACGGCGTCATTCTGTCGTTGCGCAACCTGCTGCAATCGCTCCATAGATCTACTAGCGACGCTGTATTTTAATTTGGAAGCGACATCGACAGCACCATGGTCCCGGTAGTCCAGACGCGCATTCAGGGCATCTACATGGCGTACCAGCAGCCCACAAGAATGCGCTAGTACGTCCAAGTCGGATACCAGTTGTGGATGGAGGTCGCTAATAGCATAATTGAGCCAGTCCAGGATGTTACCGAGACTAGACTTCAATGCTGTTAGTTGCGCGATGAGGTTGATGGAAGAGCCATCGCTATCTCTCCAACGATTGTGGATATGTCGCAAGCCGTCGATGTTCTGTCGCAGCTGATCGCGAATCGTGCCGATGGCGCTAATTAAGGCGAACACCCTTTTCTCATCGTCCGCCATGGCGCGATAGCGTCGCGTCGCGTCGCAGCAAAACAAATGTCGTGGATCGATTGGGCGGCGCCGGATTGCTGAACAAGTGTCTGACTGTCAGGAATTGTTGCGACTGACGGCAACGCTCGCGAGACCCCGCGCATTTAGTCAGAAACAACCAGGATTAAGGTTGGCACTTGCGGATGATTGTCACAAGACAGAACACAACAAGGAAGTCATCAGCGGCAATCCGCGGAGGTGGATGGCCTGGTTATAGGGATGGCCCTGGACCCGAGAAGATACCGCGAGCTTGGGGCGCGATGGGGCTGTCTGGCGAGAGTTGCACCGCGATCAACAGGGCGTGCTGACAGTGCGGGATTCCAACAACAACAACGGCTCGGCGTCGTCGCGAGAACGAGCCATCAGTCGCAGCCGTGATCTCAACGGTGCGATAGCGCGTTTTGATGCCAGGGGAAACGCGGCCAGCGAGTAGTGTGGCGGTCCCTGATGAAGGATGCCGGCTAATTTGGGGCGCGGATGCTGAGCGGCGCAGTTCAATGTCAGGTACGAAAACGATATCGTCTCCTGACTGCACAACCGCTTTGGGTTGAGCTGATGTCGTCCGAATTAGGCGTGCAGTATACGAAGAAGAGTCACAAAGTGGCCTTGTTGTCGCCATGATCGATGACTCCTCAGACCTTTCGGCTCACATGTGGCTAGTGCAAACGCCACCAAGCGAGAACTCTGTCGTCATCGTCCGATGAGACACCTAGGCATTCACTTTTCCGCCCAGCAAACATGAGCCCTACAAACGCCAACATGCCGACCCTGCGATCGTTCGACTGATTACTGACACTTCAAATATCAACATTACATTATTAGTCGTCCAAGCCTTGAGCAAAAGTATAGGAGGGCGACCACAGCATGGCGACTATCGACACGCTGCCGAATGAGATTCTCTCGTTGATAACGAGCCATCTTGAACGACCGCGGGATCTACTTTACCTCTCTTTGGCAAGCCGCCGGTTGAGCGAGTTCGCAAAGCTCGATGGATGGAAAGCTTTGCTTAGAGGCCGCTTTGGCCTGAGCGGTCTGGACGCGGATGCCTACAACGCCGTCCACGGCGTGACAACACTATGCCGGAACTGGGATCGAAGAGGCCTGATCGCGAGGTACCTAGAACCAACGGAGAAGACGATGAGCATGAACACCTGGCGAGCCGAAAGATGGAGAGGTCCACAGGGTCAGACAATGGGCTATCAACCTAGCATTGACAGCTACGAAGAGACATATGGATCGTGGGGAGAAAGAAAAGAAGTATTGGCGTGGTCTGCTGGTACGCAGATTATTATGCGGACTAAAGAGACGGGTGCGAACATCGAGAAGATCAGACAACGCGAAGAGGGGCTCGACCAGGCGCCTGACCAGACGTGGAGGTATGACGCGTTCAGACACTTAAATACGTGGTTCACGTACAAGATCCCAGAAAGCTCTGAAGGTCGTGACGACATCGTCAACTTGAAGTTGCTCCGTCCGCATCAACGGGATTTAGCCTCCGAAGACATCGTCTTTGGGACGGCATCAGGCCAGCTATCGGTACTCAGCGCCAGCCCTGATTTTGAAGAGACGCGAGTGCAACACTACAATACTGACCGTCCTGATGTCTTTGATGAAACCAGAAAACGCGCCATCGCTGATCTTTCCATATCGTCGTCGAGCACGCCCTTGCTGGCTACCGCACTTTCGGATACATCGCTAGCGGTTTACCCTGTCGATCGACACAAGTTCTCGGATCAAGCAATTAAGCCCTCTTCCACGACGAAGGCCGTATTAGACGGGAAACCACAACGTAAAATATGGTCATGCGAGTTTATAAGCGATGATGCTGTCGCCGTTGGATGGGGTCCCCACGCCGAACCTATCGAGGTCTACCACATTGGGCCCGAAGGCTTTGTATCAGAGCCTTTGCGTCGCTTCAATGTAGCCAGCGAGAGCCTGGCGCATTCAAATCATACGGCGGTTTATTCTATACTCCCATTACCCAGCACATCACCGGGCGCGTCGGAAGCAGGCCACACTTTCCTGTCTGGCGGCTATGACGGCATCGTTAGGCTGCACGATATGCGTTCACCACGCGGCTTCGAACAGATCTTCTGGGATCCAACGAACGATTCGGCAGTGTACTCTCTTGCCGCACAAGGGCGAGAACGCTTCGTAGCAGGTGTAGCTCTACACAGCATGATTAAAGTGTTCGACTTGCGCCTTTCAGGCTCGCATTCGTACCACGCCATCTCATTATCCGACAAGAAGCCCAAGCCAACAAACAAAGCATTGTCACGAGACTCAGCCACCAACACCATCGTTGATGGGCTGAAGAGCCAGACTCCAGTAGTGAGTGGCGGCTGGAATCTCTACCTGACTCCCCGCACCACTCCCTCACGCACGGCGTATCGCACCGACTACTCCCGCTTGCGAGGAGATTCACCCGTGTACAGTCTCTCGATCCCATCATCCACTTCCCAGAACCTTTATGCCGGTCTCGAGGGTGTTGTCGAGAATCTTACATTCCATGGTGTCGCGGATGCCTATCCAGATCCCATGCTCTCCCACTCTCTTATCCGTCACAGTGCTGGTGTAGTCGACGTCCGCGCTTCGTACAATTCGGATGGTGGCGCATTGAATCTGGGCATGTATGAACAAGGTACCGAGGAGGGGTTAGGTATGCAGTTGTTGGTTCAGGACGGCGTGACGGACAAAGTGGCGGGTAAAGAACGCAGGGATAAGGCTGTGGCTAAGGGGTTGGATGAACGCTGGGTCGACTTGAGAGATGAGCAGGGTAGGTGGTCTAGTGGTGAGATACCGCAAAGGGAGCCGCCGCGTGGACCGCGAAATGGTGGTCATGGGCGAAGAAGGGACGGAAGAGCACGTTGATAAGTGCAATTGGGACGTATTCTGAATTCGTCTAGTCAGTGTTACAAGCAACGGTATTTGTATACATATGAGGGATAAGTGTAAGGTGTAGGGCCACCCGTAGCCTGCTCGCGATTAGGTAGGTTAGATGATAATGGGGAACAGAGCCCGAGCGCCGAGCCGAGCCTATACTTTGCTATTTCTAGTGCAGTTGGGACGCGTTGTATGTTCTGGGCGATGCCATTGCCAATTGTTTAGCTAGACTAAGGTAACCGTGCTTGCTACCGCATTTTCTTCAAACCAACAGCTGTCTAACCCAGCAACTAACCCAATTCTAACGTACTCGCTCTTCCCGTTATTTGTGGGCTGCAGTATAAGCGCGTCAAGATCACTGCCGTGTTCAGACCCCTTCCATAAACCGAAACAGACCACCGACTTCCATGCGATCTTATCTTGCAACCCCTCATAGGTTAAAGCGCTATAAACGGGCGGGTATGGTTCAAAAGCGTCGAAGCTATATCCCGAATCGAGGTACACGAAGACCTTTCTCTTATCGCCGTCAATCCCATACGTCGGTAACCGCATAATCATTTGATGTCCGGGTACTACCCAGCCGCGGAGACAAAGGGATGCGTGCAGAACTGGTCCGTAAGGATTGGACGTAGCTGGGTGGACTTGGAAACTTTCCAAGGTACATATAAATTGCGCATCATCAGGAGGTTCTATGATGTTTACACTATGCACGTGTGAGCTCCATGAGAACGTAGGGCCCAAGATATCAACATCCTCGGGGTGTTTCCAACGTCTTGTACTTGTGTTAACATACCACCCCAGTTGATACACGATGCGATGTTCCCAGAGTCCTGCGATGTACTTCCCGGGCTTCAAATGTTCCATACATGCTGCCACTCCGGAAAGCGCGGGTAGTGAATCTTGTCCGTAGGTAAGTTCCATCTTGCTGTAGTCATGTACTATCTCCATCCATTCCAACGCGAAAGTTCCTTCCATCTCTGGGGCAGCTCGCAGGTCCGCAAACGCTCTATATCCATGACCAAGGCGCCGTATCATCGATTCCTTCTTGCTGGCCGCGCCACACTCGCATTCTCGCTCATGCTCACACTCAAAAAGGATCTCATCTGGCAGGAAATGGATGATTCGACGAGCCAGAAACCTCTCTTGCATGCACCAGCCCCGTAGGAACAGCGTGTATTCTTGCTTCATTGCATAGCGACGACAGTCATGACTTTCAATTTGTCTTGCACGCACTTCGCGGTCCGGCTGGCCATGTTGTGCGTATCTTATGACTAGGGGCTCCAGTCTTTTGCGCAAAAACCCATCCTTGGAGTCCTCAGTGGCTGTAGCTGACAAGACGACATACGCGCTTGCGTAGATATCTGCCATAAGTGATGCTTCGTTCGCCCATTCTTCCTTGTCGTCCTGAACAATGCAAATCCGATCAATCCATATGTATTCCAGACCGAGTCCTCTAGCAACCTGAATGGCGTCTTGGAGAGTCTTTGGAAACTCTGAAGTCATCAGCTTCTTGACCCGTTCTCCAACGTTTTCCTTCGTCGTCTCGGACTGCTTGCCCAGTCCCCAGCGGTAGGAGAGCGCCGCAAATTTCACTGAGCTTCCCGGTGAGCAGAGCCGACAAGTTTTCCCGTCATGGCCACCAATTTCAATCAAGCGTGTAGGCCTAGACCTGTTGTTTGGTGGAGCATGCCGGTGGGTATTATCGCAACGATTGATCCATTCCCTTATGATACTCATTGAGGCTATCGAGTCCGCAGACTCGCAAACATCTTTCGCGCATCGAAAAGGACTCGCAAGAACCTCTGATTCTGTCGCTTGCATCAGCCAGTTCTTCGAGTTGAAATCAAGCACAAACCTTTTGAGTACAATTGAACATGAATGTCTTCACAAACAGCCCCTGGGTTACTGCTGTAGCATAGCTGGATATCGGTCTTAAGCCCTCGAGAACTCAACTCTATCGACTTCGCGTCTTTTGCAAAATGCTGCTGACATTTGCGTAGGATTCCGCAAAAGTCGCAATTTGCGTTCAGGCGCTCCACAAGAACAAAATGGAAGAAGTACTCATCCATGTGTCGGTGACATACGGCACAACTCAATTCGTATAGAGTATACACTTTGTCGGGGACCAGAGCAAGCTCGTTCGATCTTGCGATGATCTTCTTTTCACTTTTGTCTGGATAAAGTCTTCTGGCGAGAGACCTGCCCAAGATTATTATGCATTATCAAAGCGTTCCAATCACCTTACAATAACTCTGAACGGCTTCTTGGAGACACCTCCATGTCTGACCGTCTCAGTGGTACCACCCCCCAGCCTGAAGAGTCGTCACTGGAAGACATTTCCGCATCTGAAGGGTCGTCGCTGGAAGACATCTCCGCATCTGAAAGCTCGTCGCGGGAAGACATCGCCTCAAATGGAAGCTCGCCGATCGAAGACATCGCTGCATTTGAAAGCTGGTTTATGGAAGACAGGGCTAGAGAAGACGGCGACAACACTCAGCGCTGCTCTTTACGACTGTATACTTTCGTGAATAGTTTTACAGTGTAGTGTTGTGTGTCGGATCTGTCGTGCGTGCGTGTAGGCAGAGAAAGGAAGGCTGGACGGGTTCAGCTGATGACGACCGCAGGCTGGCCGCACAGCCCATCCAGGCTTAGCCGAAAGCGGACTAGGCACTCTTTACCCACGAGCAGACAGAACAGCAAATGCGCATCAACCGCAGTGTACATTCTGGACGTTTCGACTCACACTTGTATTCTTGCGCATGATGGGAGCTGCATTCTCTACTTCGGCTCAGCAAGTGTCCAAGCATCGATCAAGAAGGTGGCCGGTCAGCTGACGTCACACGAGGCCACCCCAAACATGTACCATACCACGTGCCTCCCGCATACTCAAGATGCTCGGTAGCCCTCTCAGCCGCAGCATTGCGCGCCTGTAAACCCAAATCCTCTACCCAATCCAATCTCAGTTCCCCTTCCAACGAAGGTCGACCACATGGTCGTCACCTCCCAAGGCTCATTCCAACTTGCCCCAACAGTCTTCAGTACAGTCAAGATACCCCTCCATCTCATTCACCCCGCCCATCTCACACCTATACCAACAAGTAACGCAAGACCGCGTAGCCATATGTCTCAGATATCGTGATGTGGTGCTACCAGCGTGGCAGTAGTCTTGGCGTAAGCTGTTTTCGCGGCTTCCGCGCGTGAACAATAGCCCGATGGAGTAAGATACTTCGTTTGAAGCGAACTGTGGAGACAGCTGAAGGTCGATTGTATCGTCGTGGTTATTTTCTGTGCGTGGTAGTTTGCTGGTCTAGTTATGACGCGCGTTATCTCTGATCGGGGAAGAGGCTTCGCGTTGACTGCGCTGGAAAAAAGACGTTCTGGCGCAGTTTTGTCTGCATTGCTCGCACTGAGTGAGCCATCGCGGACTAAAGTCGATGCGTTGTGAATGTTCAAATGTGTACCAACCGTCCAAAGTCCGAAGGATCGCATCCAAGCGCGTACTGGTAGGTGTTCATCACGTCAGCTTACTTGCTGTCTCCACCAAAGCCATACGGCAAAAGACTGGGGAAGAGGATCTCGAACCTCAATGTGGAGCAGTCCGTCGGCCCTGGTGATACGGCGAGTACGAGTACGAGGTAGGCAGACTCACGTTGGGGTTGCCAGGCGCCTCGCTGTGTGATGCGTAGTTTGCGTCGTAGCCGTAGACGTCTGCGTTCGACGAGAGGTCGCGTTGGAGATGCGATGGCGAGGGTATGTGAGATTGCTGGAAGGATTGTTGCGCTAGGTGGGTGTGGTATCGGTACATAGACGGGCGAGTGGTCGCCGTGGCTTGTGTAGAGTAGTCTAGACTCGACATCCACGCTGGCGGCATGTTCCAAGGTATGCTCGCTGGTGGAGACGGAGAGTAAAGGTGCGCATTCCAATGAGGTGGGTAAGAAGAATACGCTTGATCCACTGCGAGATGATGGGGATCAAGGGATGCGACGGTAGCTGCCAGTATGGCTTCGTTTGCAACTGCGCTGCTTGCGCCGAAGACATGGCTTGACGGCGTCTGGTATGGTGATGAACTCGCGCCTGTAATGTCGTAGTCTGCGGACAGAGAGCGCGGGTACACTTCGTGCTGCTCAGGCGAGGGTTCTGACTCCTGACGCCCCTCTGAGTCGTCCCTGATCAACTGCTGGAGGTATTGAAGCTTCCGTTTGCGCTTCTCTCCTATACCGAATGTCATTAGTTGCGGTCACAACGAGCGACGACTTGACGTACGATAATTACGTGAAGCTATCCTGTTCTGTTGCTTTCGTATCTCGCTGTTGGGCTTCTTAGGCTTCTTCCCAGGCTCTTCGCTCACTGCCGCTCGTTTTGATCGCGCATCCGGTGTGGAGAGAAGCTGTGAAGATGAAGGGGTAGGAGGAGAGCCCATGGCGCCAGCTAGTGTGTTCGGTAACCAGAACGATGGGATCAATATTGCCCGAAAGCGTTGGCGAAGGCTTGCTTTTGAGCCGCTGATCAGTTCCTAATTGCAAGACGGCAGGGTTACATCCAAGCCGTAAAGAGAGCTTAGCCTAGACCCTACATCGACGTTGGCTAGGTAGAGCCAGGCGACGGCTTCCGCTGCCGTGCTTTTCCTGGGCACTGCTGATTAAACAAAACAAGAATAGCAACAGCCCCAATGGGCGGCGGAGGCAAGTAACGCACTTCACCACTATGCTGCCGTCAACCATGGTCTTAACTTCGCCGCACGGCATTAGGATATGGTCATCCGAGATGCCAAATCCAGAGGATATTCATTTCGAGGACTTAGTCATGGCTGACGGTACTGCTGTGCGACAGATGCGGATTGAGAGCCGCTTGGTTACTCAGTCCCAAGATTACTTGTTTCCGCATTGGGCATACTGGACGAACAAGATGGCCATGGAGTTTGCGTTCTACAAAGAGCTGAATCATCTCGGACCCGCGATCCGATCTGACGTCTGTATGGTGGAAGCTGAGATGCACGAGAGCAGGCGGAGCAGGCGGTAGAGACATCCACCTTATCTCCACCGCCTGCACCATCACTCTTCGGAAAAGCTGAGTCATATGAGAAGCTTCATTTTAGCTGAGTTCTTCCAACAGAAGTTGAACGCCAGTGTGCCGAGCAGTGTTGGTGGTATGGTGCGCTGTCTTCCATCCGCGCACCTAAACAGAAGGCGGTTATAACTCGGACTCGCGCTTCCGCCCTCCGCTCTGGCGATAAGATTCGTTATTCTGTCTTTCCAGACGGTTCTCATAGCTTCGTAACGTCTCGCTGGCGCATTTGACGCGTCACCGCCACAACTTCCGCTGGCAAGCCCAAACAAACCTCAGTCCAGCAGCGCATGCGATCTCAGGCGTGCGATGACGAGAGTATTACCAGGTACTTCGCTAGCTGGCACGCTCGACTGTTGAGCTGAGATGGTACTGTACCTGTGGCGTGTCAACATCGTAAGCTACTAGCCAATAGAGGTAGGAGCTAAGGTGCTGCGTAAGCAGTCGCGAGACAAGGAATCTCACGCCGCCTTTTCGAAGGAAAGGGGCGAGCTGTGCATTATTCATAACTTACGATAAAATTACAACATTGGGTGTGGCGGTCGTCTGTCACGTTCAACTGCTGAGAGTGATGCCGGCGGTGGCGCGAAGCAGATGGACTACTCACAACTTCCGAAATTCGTATGCCCCCACCCAACCAGGTCCTCTCGAAGGAGAACTATCGTAAACACAGGAGCGATGCGACACCTGATCTGAGTCTATTTCGTCTGCTTTTCACAATGTCACTGCGCATGTGACACGAGGCAGACGAGCCACTCGCGGCTTCCGAAATCATACCACAACCACCCAATTAGATCATCTCGGCTGAGAAGCATCGTCAATTCAAGAAGTTCCAAGGGTTGGCAATGTCTGTCACGTTACTCTAAAGACTTTTTCTATGGCAGGTGACGTTACGCAACTTGCTAAGAAGAAGCTGAGAGAAGCAGTCGCGGGCGTGTCTCGACGAAGAGAACAATCTGCCGGTGACTCAAACTGGGTCCCGATTTTAGTTTGGGTTGGTCATTGAGGCTGTATTTTGATCAGTCGCGTGTTATTGAGACCTGATGTAAGACGAAAGACCAGCATGTGACTGCGAGAGGAAGGTGTTGTACTCTCTGTATAGGTTACCTGTTGACGAATAGGCAAGATGCGATAACACGTGCTTACTCCGTCACGCAAGACGGGATTGTGGAAGAAAGAAGCACGGCCCAAGGTGTACGCACCCGCTTATAACTGCGCAAGACGAGACAACACGAGTCTCTGGTCCAGCTCGCAAAAGCCTCTTGCAAACGCACAATCAACAGTGCAGCCCAAGGTGCAGTCTCGCCACTGGCAACGACGCAGAACGCGACAACACAATGTCGCTCTTAGCGGGCAACCGGTAAAGCGCAACTTTCCATCGTATCATCAACACTGCGACTCAGCGTACAGTCTCGCGGTTCAAGGCTCAAAGCCAGCAAAAAGGCCAACTTCCCATCACATCACCAACAGCGTTACACCCAAGAAACATCTCAGATCACGCTCTTCAAAAAACACAACACAGAGCCACCACATCGACACCACTAATGCCTCTCCGGCATCTGATGCTGTCTCTTGAGATAACTCGCCTGCAACACTGTCAGCTCCCAACATCCTCACATCATCACGTTGTTTCAGAATGCTCTTACCTCATCAAGTACAGCCTGTAATCTGCCTTCTTCGGCGACGACGCGCTTGACGGTATCGCTCACGTTGCCTTCGAGACCGACGTTGCAACCGCGTGGCAGCCATCGAAGTATGTGGAATGCGTTGGCGTATACGCTTGTTGCGCCGGTGACCCGTCCGTCGTCTGGTAGGCTGGCTTGGAGGATGATTTTGAAGGTCTTGAGACCCCAGCAGTAGCGCAGACCTAGGCGGACGAGGTCGGCGAAGCCGTCGAGGATGTCGTGGTGGGAGGGTATGGTGAGGACGACGTGTTTGATGAGGCTGCGCGAGCGCTGGTGGAGGGTGGATAGGGTGTGGATGCCGCTTGTGAGGCTGAGGGTGAAGACGTTGTCGCTGTACAGAACTTGACGCGCCTCCCTGTATATCAACTTGTTCAGCCGCAGGATCTCCGGGACGATGGGATCGTCTAGCGGGATGCGCTCGGGACCCTGTCTGGGTCGATGGAAGGCGTAGCCGGGGCCGGGCAGTTCGCGACCGGGCATGTAGGGGGCGTAGAGGTTGTTTCGGCGCGGTGCTGCGAGAAGGTCGTCGCCGTCTTCGGGTTTCTCGGGCGCGCGGTCGGCATGCAGGAGGAGCGGCTCTTCGCGCACGAGCGCCATGTGGTAGATGTGGATGCGCAGTTCGGCGGGAAGCTTCATGAAGGGGAAGAAGTTTGCCGTTGCAGTCTCGGACGTCTCTGAGGTGTCGGCTGGAGGCTCAAATTGCGATTCGGTCAAGGTGCTGGGTTCTGGTGTGAGAAGACCGCTGCGGCCTCGCGAGGTTGGTGCCACAGCAGCTTGAGGCTTTCTGCCGACCACATCGTCATCAACTGGGCCACGAGTACGAAGCTTCTTGGGCTCTGGCGCATGCGCTTCTACTTCCTGCTCTTGAATGGCACGCTTTCGGCTACTCATGGCGAACACCGGGCGTGTTTGTCGGTCCATTGCCTTGTCTTCTGAAGCCATGTAGGCTCTTGGGTAGAACGATATGTCCTAAAGATGGCGATACTAGTAATCGTATTTGTTTTGTCTGTATATCAAACGATGGCTGGCTGGCCGTGACGCGTCGAAGTCGCCAAGTACAGTAGCGTGAAGTCTGCTGGCCAAGCGTGAGGTCTAGACAATGCTAACAGGTGCGCGGCATTCGATAATAGCTGGGCTGAGAGAAGCGTCAAAAGTGAATACAATGGCAATAAACCAAAGCGGCGCAAACAATAGCCGGCAAGGGAGTTCGCGACACGGCAAGGTGCAGGTGGACTCGACGCGGAGGTGAATGATTGCGGGGTTGGATAGCGTGTAGAACGGCTGTGGGCCCAGCAAACGTCAGTGCGCATGAAGATTGCGTCACGTGTGCCTATTTTACAATAGCTTCCCGATTCACGGTGAGAGGGCGTAAATGGACAATAGGAAAAGGCCGTCGCAGTCTCGTGCTGGTACCCGATAGCTTTCAAGTTTTCACTTCACGGAGAGGAGCGTGAAAAGAGAATAGGGATTAATGATTCCAGTCTCGATCTAGACATTTGCGCGGCACCACAGACGAGCTGTACTATCATGGGTTGAATAGTCTCATCAAGCTATCTACACTAGCCACCACTGACTCGTTGCGCTCGTCGCTCGCCTCTATGCAAACCGCAGTGGTCGGGGGAAATAATAATAAGGGAATCAAAATGACCACGCGTCCCTACCAGCCTCGTCCAAGCTCCTCTCCGCCTTGCCATACGTGAATGCGGGTTTGGGCCTCTGAGGGAGAGGGGATCTGGGGCAGACCTGAGTGCCACGCTTCAGCATCGAAGAATGACCCGAAGCGCAGGCTTTACCTTCTGGACCAGCACACTATAAGTCTATTAGGTTGTTGGCACCAGGCTGACGGGGTTGCTGCTGCTGCTGAGGCTGAGCACCGAATGGATTCGCGCTGCCGTAAGGGTTGGCGCCAAAGTTGCTCGCTGGGCCGGTCGCCGCGGGCATCATGCGGTTTTGCTGCGGCATGCCGGTGAACTGCGAGTTCAAGAACGGGTTGTTGCCGGTAGCGTTGGCGTTGACCCGGTTCAAGCCTGCACCAGCCGAGTTGACGAATGTACCCGGAGCTGTGTGTTGAGCTGGAATACGCATGTTTCCAACGTTGCCGAAAGTGTCCTGACCTTCGCCTGTTGCAAGAAGCGCGTTGAGCCTGGCAGCGGTCGGATCCATCTCTTTTTGCGGCGCCTGTGGCTGCTGCTGCTGCTGCTGCTGCTGTGGTTGCGCTGCCGGTGCAGGAGAGAAGGATACCGGTGGGTTAAACGAGGTGTTGTTGAACTGGGTCTGAGTCTTCTGCTCGCTCAACGAGTTCAACGTCGGTTGCGTGAAGGTCTGAGTGGGCTGCGGTCGGTTGAAGGACTGAGCGAATGGATTGTTGGAGCCAGTGGGCTGCGGCTTGAGCGACTCTTGAGTCTGGTTGCTTGCCCACGGGTTATGACTGCCAGGCTGGAGTGCATTCTGATCTTGCTGCGGTTGTTGCTGTTGCTGCTGGCCCATGTCACCAAAGCCTCCACCTCCAAATTGACCATACGGGTTGTTGTTGAACGAGGTTTGCTGAGGTTGAATCGTGTGTTGGGGCTGCATGTATTGCTGCTGTTGCTGCTGAGCGCCGAACTGATCAAAGCCGGTAGGTTGTGGCATTTGGGGCTGCTGCTGGAAGCCACCGTAGCCGCCGAAACCATTCTGGAATCCAGTTTGCTGAGGCTGCATGCCCGTGGGCTGTGAGTATGCGTTGTTGAGGAAGCCAGTGTTCTGAGGCTGCTGCTGGTTCTGGTCCATGAGGTTACCGAACCAGTCCACTTGGCCCTGCTGCTGGTACCCCTGGTTGTTGCCCGTGGGCTGGTAGGCATTTGGCTGTGCGGTGGTTTCGCCGAAAAGTAAGTCGGCGTTGGTCTGTTCGAGTTCCTTCCGGCGCAGCTCCTCCTCCTCCTTGCTCAGCTTGATGGCCTTTTCCAAGTCATCGTCGGTGTCCTCAACTCTGGCCCCACGTTCGCGGCGCTTCTTCTCTTCCTCTGCCTCGTTCTTGCTTGCCTCGAGCGCGAGTCTCAGCTCGAGATCTTCTTCTTCTGTTCTGCGGTTGCGACGCTGCTCGCCGTTGCGCGGGCGCGTGGCTCTCTCCCCGCCATCTGGACCGTGGTGGCCTCCACCGGGGTACTCTTCGATGCCTGTGACCCGCGACTTCCATGATTTCCTGTCGGCTCGCTCGGCGCGCAGGCGCTCTTCGTCGAGGATGAGCGAAGTCAGCTCTTTAGCTGCCATTCGCACTGCGATTGTCTTAGTAAGGCACGAATTCGCAAAGCAGGACGCGCTTACCGTTCTGGCCGACGTCGCGACCGTCCTCGTCGGTGTGCTGGAACTCGCGCAGTGTCTTGATGATGTAGATGTTCTTGCGCGCCCATGTCACAACGAGCTCGGAGCCCTCGTGCAGGCAGTAGTCGAGCACCTTCAGCGACTTGAGGACGTGACGCCAGTTCTTGCCGCGGTCGTTCAGGCGCTTGTCGAGCATGTCCATGACCTGATAGAAGTCGGTCGAGCTGGGTAGCGGTCAGCATGGCTCGCGTAGCCTTCGCAGTCGTCATACCTATTGAAGGTGATTTGGGCGATCTCGGCCATGTCAGACCCGACGGGGCCCCATGGGTCGTTGCTGGTCGCTGCGATGGTCAGCTACGCCGTGCATGCAGCTCCTGGGGCACTCCATACCATTGCGGACCTTGACCTCGACCTGGCTGTACCCCTTGGTCACGTTCTTGACCGATCTCGCGATTTTACTCATGGTCGCGACGTAATTTCCGTCTCGCGGTGTGCGGTGTCGTTGGGTCGGAGCTGTCGGGAGGGAAGCGTCGCCAGAGGAGTGGCTGAGGTATAGCGCTGGGCGGATGACGTGCCACTAAGTAGACGGGCGCAAGCAATCAACAGCGCGGTTTGTCGTCGGAATTGATTGCCCAGCGATGGTGAGAATAGCGAGATATGGCAGCGTGGGTTGTGGCAAGCTGGGGTAAAATGGACATGCAGGAGAGACGTGGATAGACGTAATGCGAGGCTGGTGCGATGACCGCCTGCATAGGACAGGGCCGAGCGACCGAATTCGAGGGTCAAAGCGCGGCGACGACGTCAATGCCGGGCACCACCAGCACCTTCACTTGAGGTCCAACATGGACATTAGTCTTGATATTGTGGCATTCACTCGTGCTAGATACTTGGATATCCTTCTCTGTCGTGAAACAACTGTGCGAGCAGCACGCAACTATTGCGAATGAGCTGACGAGGCTTCTCTTGTCGCCTGGGCAGATCTTGGATGCAACGGGTAATGCTCGCAATGCGCTGAGCCCAATGAGGCGACTGTAGGGCAGCACACAGAATACGAAGGCGCTCGTCTCGAGCAACTTGTACGCTTAACTGGGATGCACCCTCAAGTATGTATTGTTGTCGAACTTTATCGTCAATTCAAAGTTCTGCGAACACCTTCAGGGTATTCAGGTACAGCCGAGCTCTTTCACGTTCCTGCCATGCACGACGGGAGCACATCTCTACACCTACCATAATGGAAATAGCACAGCGGTTCACATATTACGCATCTCACTTGCATATCGTGGAATGAGTGTATTATGGAGATTTAAATTTTTGGCTCCGCTTGCGCAGAATAGTGGTGTAGTCTAAGAGGCGGATATAAGTCCTTCATTAAATACCAGTCTAGAGAGGTTTGCCGGTGCATATGAAAAACAAGACAAAACGGAACAAGCCCGGACGCCCTTGCCCGTCTTGGTGTGTATGAGGCACGCCCAACGCCTGCCATCCCGTCTCGAGAGGGATGGACGAAAACCCATGGAAAAACCGCCGCCAGATAACCACGACCCGGAGATGGGAAGACTTGCAACAAACAGATATGGGCAAGTCGAAAGAAACAGGAAAACTAACGCGCTCAATGACCCGCTAGCCCATAGGGATGCCAGTAAGAAAATTTTGTGGAACAGGGTATAGGTCCTGCCTGCCGAGAACACCAGAGTAAGGATCGCACACCAACCTAGGGAAAAAACTGAACAGCCTGGAGCCTACGTTGACTTTGGGTCGCCTCCTTTGTAAGGTTTTGGGTCAATGTAGTCTGCAGACCTGTTCAGTTTTTCCCTGGTATGAGGTGATCGCATGTATTAGTTTTACAGTGGGGAGGATTAACCGTGACGCCGCGGTGGAGCTTGCTCAAGCGTTACGTCGGATGTATCTTCCAGTATCTGTGGGAGAACTGCGCCAGGGCCGCAACTCTATTGGACAGCAGGAGCCCACATTCCGTTGCCCATCTCGCGGTGGTTGGGATTGTAGTGGTCGGGTTCGGTGCTGTTGGGCCGACGGATGTTGTTTTGCTGGTAGTACATGCCGTTTTGTGCTTGGTACTGGGGCTCTGGGTAGACGTAGCCGTTGTCTTGAGCTCCTGGGGAGGGGAGAGCCTGTTGACCAGGTGATTGCCAGCCCATGGCGGACATGTGAGGGCTGCCGTTGGCGCTGGTGGTGCCTCCGGACTGGTTGTGGTTTGCAGACGCAGGAGGCTCAAGAATCGGCGGTGGGCCGTAGGCGGTCGGGTGAGAGGTGATCGCTGGGCGAGAGCCGCTCACGTTGGATGTGTATGACTGAGCTGTGAGCGCAGGGGAGGCACGAGGGCTGGGCTGGGGCATCTCATGACGCATGTGAGGAGGGACGTTCATACCGCCCATGTAGGCGTAGTCGGAGCCCTGGCGGTGCAGGCCAGGCATGCCACCAGGAGGCATTCCCTGTGCGGGTGAAAGAGAGAGATTGCGGTCATTGGGCGAAGGAGTGCCGAGCGGCGATGCTGTCTCGGAGTAGTCACCACCGTCGGAGCGACCGGTCCTGCTCGAGGCAGAGGCACGCGATGCGAGCGCAGCAGCAGTGGCGGCAGCGGCCTCTTCTACAGTGCCGGTGTGGTGGTTCTGGTGACGCGTCAAGGTAGTGCGACGCGTAAAAGTCTTCTGGCAGTCGGCGTATGGGCACTTGTATGGGCGCTTGCCGGAGTGGATGCGGCGGTGGCGGGCCAGCGAACTGGAGTCACTGAAAGGCTGTTCGTTGTTAGTTGTGAATGCAGTGCGAAACAGAATTTCCGTACCTTTCCACATCGCTCGCACATGTGAGGCTTCTCGCCAGTGTGGACACGTTGGTGAACCGTGAGGGCGGAGCGCTGAATGAACTGCTTGCCGCAGTTGGGGTAGTCGCACACGTGAGGGCGGATACCGCTGTGGATACGTTCTGCATGTTGTCAGTGCTCTGCTTTTGATGTTGGGGCCAAAGCTTCTTACCATGACGTGCGAGGTCACTGCGTCGCGCGAAGCCTTTACCACAGGTCGAGCACGCGAAGGCCTTAGGTGGACCCGTGTCCGACGCGGGGCGCCCACCGTTGTGTTGGTGTTGGACCTGCGCGTCCGCCATCTGCTGCTGTTGTTGCGCGTACGCGTGCTCTGGCGGGTTGGGAATGTAATTACTGTTGTTGAGCATGGGCATGGGCGCCTGCATTTGCGAGGGCGAGGGGTAGCGCAGGCCGTTCATGTGCTGTTGGGGAATCGAAGGGTACGAGGGGAGTTGCTGCTGCGGTTGTTGCGACGAGTAGCGCGACGAGTCTGACGGGTGCGGCGACACGCCACGCTCCGAGCCGTTTTCCGACTTGATGTGGCCGCCATTGAGGTAGCTCGGGGGCGCACCGAAGTGCTGGGGCTGCATTGCGTGTTGCATGGTGAGCGCTCCGTTTCCTAGGGATGCTGTTAATCTCTGGTTCAGAATCGTGTCCAACTCCATTCTCCGGTCGGCGGGATGCGCGTGACGGAAAGCGGCAAGGCACTGCAGGCCCGATGAGCAAGAGACGGGACGGTGCGCACCAAGTGAGGGTGAGAGCCTGTAAGGATGATGCAAATCAGGCGTCGGGCGAGGACGCAGCAGAGATGGGCGTGGGTGAGGGCGTCAGGTCGAGTCGTCGAGGGGCCGCGCGTAGGTCAATGCAGCGGATGCACTACTGGAGATGGCGATGTCAGTTGCGAGGTTGAGCGGGCGTCGTGGCAGCAGCGTCAAGGTAAAGGGTGAAAGAAGGGCGCGCCAGAAATTGTCGGTCTGGCAGTCACGCTGGCCACGTCGGAGCAGGAGAAAAGGGGAGTGGAGCGGTGAGAAGGACCTGCAGCGGGAATGCGCGGGCTGCACGGGGCGAAAGGGAATCGTGCAAAGCGGGAGTACGTACCTGAGATAGATATAGACGCGCGAGAGGGCAGGGCAGGGGATGGCGGTGATGGAGGGCGTGGTGTTGGAGAGTCTGCAGGTACTTCTTTCCTCGTTGCGCGTAGTTGCCCAGAAAGTCGTAGGGGCGCTAGAGCAGATTCGGCCTTGGGCGGATCGTCCTAGGCGCTAGTCGACAAAAAGGGACCACGATGTGCAGGCAGCGTCGCTGTCAAAGCGTCTGAAGCCCACCACACTGACACTGCGGTTTATGTAGACGAACGGCTATGCAGACACACGAAACTGCGCGTCTCACCGCAAGCAAATTGAAGAGTGGCGGGGGCGGCGCGGCGGTTCTGGCTCTCTGGCGTCCTGGCTGTCCACCTAGACAATGTGGTGACGTGACGTACAAGACACTTTGGGCCGGAGTGCTGATTAGATTGCTTCCGCCCAACAAGAGGGTCGGTATGGTCGGTAACTTTGTCGTGGACTGATGGGGGCGCTGGTCGATCGTGTTCCTCCCTAGGGCCGGCAAAAGAAAAGGTGAATCGTGGCTGCAGCAAAATCAGTTCTGCTCGCTGACTGTGTCTGAAGCTCTAGGTGATTGGTCCTAGCAGTCTGGAGATGTGGTGCGTGTAGAGGGAACGGGCAAGCATTCTTCTGACAGCATGGAGCAGGGCACGTTCAAATACACTCGATCAATGCATCGCAGCGCATCCAGCTGTGGAGCGGCCCTATCCTTGCGTTCATCTCGCGCTCGCGACACTACAGCTTCACCATGACCTTTCCTGTTAGCATGCCGCTGCTAGCTGTCAAGGAGCTGGGGCAGTCCTGCGACCTTGTTTGAGGCGTATGTGGCGCTTTTGTGCACAGATGAGGATCCACAAGCCGACGGTAGTCTCCAACGCCCATTTTGGACCTTACCACGCGACTGGAGTTGATGATGCATCGTGACTTGACAAGCAGCATAGAGTTGCGGCTCCGGCGTTACATGCGGTCGCCACGATACCTCACCCTCCCCTTTCCACTACCGCGCAGATTGGGTCGCAACACCAGGAGCAGCGATTCAGCGGTTCCTGGAGGCTGCTGGGATGTGGGAGCATGGGCCATATTTGGAAGGTACATAGAAGGCCGCTAGAAGGGAGGGAAGGCACGGTGCATAGCACTTGCTTAGAACGTGCAGCAGGCGACAAGAAGCCACCAGGGGGCCAAAGCACCAGCCGGGTTTGAGACAGCGAAAAAGAAGCATAACGACTGAATAACCAACGTATTGCCTTTGCAGTCCCGCAGCTTATTGGGCCACGCTTGTCCATTTTGTGGAGGTTGGAGACTTGTGAGACACCCGGAGACGCCCCTGACCGCCGCCGAGTCAATCATTCAGGGCGCGAACGCCAGGTCTGCGTGGTCTACACCGCCACCACGAGGCCGTATCCAACGTCGTCGATGTCCATGTCCAACTGCCAACAGGGCGCCTCT